GATTTTAAGTTCAAGTTTATTTATTTAGGAATAATATTGTATCCTGTCTGTTTCGATTCATATTTATGTTCAAAAAACGTTTAGTTTTAGTCTGTTCAATAAATGCTTATCCTGTTCGACCCGCGACCTAAAGTGTGCTTTGAGTTTTGGCCCCCTGTACGATTGAGTTTGACACCCCTCATATAAGGTGAACTGAGTGGGGTTATTTTGGTGTGGTGGTAGGTAGGGGCCGTTCTGATCCACACTCCAGTCTGGAAGGTGGCGGTAATGCACGTAAAGCTGGTTGCCAACCGCCATTAATAACAGCTAAAGAAGAAGAAAAGGCGCTTTTATGTTGGTTTCAGTAGGAGAAACAGCTTCAAGAAACCCACATGCTGAATTGAGGTGAATATAAAAGATATTCAGCTTTACATCTCTCTTAATCTGTTCGCCGTTTCCACTGTTTTCTGTGCCTGTCTTGCTTTTATTTGGGATGTAACATTAAGAGTGTTGTCACAAAGCTAGCAGTAGTTGTCTAACAGTCCTAGCTAGCACATGGTGTTTTAGCTAAGGTAAAGCTAAATATGAAGTAACCTTAGAAAATGGGAATATAAAGTTGCTATGTATATGTATATATGTGTTTGTTTATATGGGAGAGAAAGTGTTGGAGATATGTAAAGATGTAGTTGACGTTAATGATAATTCGTAAATTCCAAGTGATTTTTTAATGTTCACTCTGGATAAAAGACACTGCGCTGCTCACCTTAAATGTGAGTCTGCTGTTGAATTTGTCCCTGCTATTTGTATTTCCTATTATATCGTACCATGCTGTATTGCAGACCTATATATGTTGGACATTTGGTTTTTGATAAACACTCATGCAGTCATGGAAACGATTTAACTGCTTTACTCCTCAATCAGCACAGTCATGGTGGTGAAGAAAAAGGCAGCCAAAGTAGAGGCTGTGGTGTTGGATGAGGAGAAACTGCACAAGCTGATAGGTAATGGCACTGAACCACTGATGAGCAGAGTAACAATGGTTAATAAAACAAAACATAGTCCTCTAGGTGCTCCTCAAATAATATTGTGTGTCAGTAATATCAGAGCACTCTCGGTTGTTGTGTGTCTACCCTCCACTACATTACCTGTGTCATACTATTTACAATGCTTTTCAATGTGTGTCTTGGTCCTTCTTAGTGTCCCTTTCTGTTGATGATGGAGATGATGGAATCAGGGAACTTGCCCAGACTCTGCAGTCCTGTCTGAAACTGGCAGAGCCAGTGCAGCAGATCCAGCTGGTTAAAAAGGTTAGCATCAATAAGATTTATGTCTATCTAATATTCTGTTTATTATATTGTCATTATTTAACAAACATTATGTAATGGAGATGCAGCTCTCTAGGCTAGCATTCTCTCAGAAGTGTTCCCATACATTATATTACCAGAGGGTGTGTCAATGCTGAGGCAGCTCGGTGGCACAGTGGTCAGCGCTGTTGCCTCACTGCAAACAGCAGGGCTCCAAGAAACCCACATGCTGAATTGAGGTGCATGTAAAAGATATTCAGCTTTACATCTTCCTTAATCTGTTCGCCATTTCCACTGTTGTACTGTTTCAATGTTCAGGGTTCGTGACCTTTCTGTGCGGAGTTTGCATGTTTTCCCCGTGCTTGTGTGGGTTCTCTCCAGGTAATCCAGCTTAGAGCTGTAATTGGGCCTGAAAAGTTAGGCCCGACAGAATTCGGCCCGAGCCCGACAAGTAAATTTTTGATTGACAGCCCGAACCCATTTACAGCCCGACATTATTCAAATGTGCGCACAGCGCACGCACACAGCATCGCTCAACATGCCTTCTCAGCGAGGAATTCCCTGTCGTTTTGCTGTGGTATTTTAAGAGAACATTACATTTCTTGCATTTTACATAACCCACTGGGTCATTGTTCTCGTTATGCACATGTTCAAAATGTTGCCACACCTCAGACTTAGCTGCTGCTGGTGTAACCAAAAAATATACGCCAGAGGCAAGCCTTTGTTTCACCTCATCCATCTTCGTTCTTCGCAATGCATCTTTCTTGCGCTAGTTGAAACGCATCACGTGACCACTCATTTAACGCGCGAGCCCGAGCCCGGCCTGAGTAAAAATGATAGAAATTAAGCCCGACCCGTCGGGTAGGGTTCGGGCTAAGAATTACAGCTCTAATCCAGCTTCCTCCCACAGTCCAAAGACATGCATGTTAGGTTGACTGGCTACTCTAAATTGCCCACAGTAGTGCATTTATATATATTTGGGTTGCATCAGGAAGGGCATCCGGTGTAAAACACATGCCAAAGGAACGGTTGATTCGCTGTGGCGACCCCTAACGGGAACAGCTGAAAGTAGTAGTAGTAGTAGTAGTGTGTGTCCATACTGCTTCAGGCAGGGTCCCAGCTGGAGGCCCTGAGGGAACAGCAGTCTGATGGAGCTCTTCTAGAAGCCTGTCTTCACACCCTGGTTCTAGTCTACATCTCTCTGCAGGCCAGGAACCCCCTACGACGGTCTATCGCTAGGTACAGAGCTACATTTGACTATTTTCTTAATCTGAAAAACACTTGATACTTACTTCTCTCCACTCAGCTCTACACTAAATAAAATGGCTCTGTTTTCCTCCCCTCAGTGCCTTGGGTTCAGTACCAGCCTGGCTTTATGAGCAGACTGTAGACTGTTTGTGTACTTGTTTGTCTGACTGTTTGTCCAACCTGGCTTCAGACAAACTTCCACACACCGTAGACACCATCGCTGCATGTCTGGATGGCTTCCCTCTCGGTGAGTGTGTGATCGCTCACCTTTGCATTACTTTAGATTGCTACAGACAACTCTTGTCTCTATTGTCAAGTTAAATAAGTAATTTTTCAAAATTCTGTCCTCCAGGTGAAAGATGCATTAACAAACTGCTGCCAGAAGGTAAAGGGTTTGTTCATTTAATGTCTAATTTAGAGAAAAGCTGCATTTCTTCCTTAGTCTTATTTACTTTCTTTTTACCTGTGTAGTGCTGCAGTTCCTTCACAAGGGACTGAGTGAATACCTTCATCAGAACAGGTATAGAGGCATATTCTACATTTCTTATTCCTCTGCATTAATCCTGTTGACCATGGTTTGTAGCTAGGTTTATGCTTATGATAGTCTGTTTTTCTTGCAGTGACATAAGTTAGTGCTTATCTCTCTTGCTTCAGAGTACACAGTACATTATTTACACCAAATAACCACTGCTACAGCTTTACCTCCCTTATGCCAAAAATTGTAAATGACAAAATCTCTGGTGGGGCCTGCTCTCAATACATGTGTCTCTGTCGCCCCCTGCTGATCTCGAAGTTGTCTAGCAGGGTGTCATGTAGCCCAGGCCCAGCTGATGCAGTCCTGCCTGATGGCGGTGAAGACCTCCATGCTGGTAGTCCAGAAATCCGAAGAGATCATCAGCGCTGCTCTGCAGGGTGACCAGGATCAATGCAAGCAGGAGGACACTCTAAGCAGCCTCATGAACTGCTACGTACACATCCTCACTGATGGTAAGGAACCAGACTTAAAAATGTAGAAACAGCTGGTTTTTGCAGAGACCATGGAAGTAACCATACAACTTGCCTTCATTTCAATGCAGACATATCTGTCAACAGCCATCCTTAATAGTCATTTAGTACTTTATCTTTGAAGTATTAAAATCCAGGGGCAAATGACACACCATGTTTCTAAGGTCTCCCAGGGACTGTGTGAAGAGTAATCTTACTTTGTTTTCAACATATGGCACTGATAAAATCTTAATTTTTAAACTTTACCACCTTGTGATGATCTGAATCTAAGTGACACATAGACATACACTATGGCTCAAATAAGGCCTGTTTCATATGAAATTGACAAGCGGTTTTGTTGAGTTTAGTTTTAACCTCTGGCAGGTTACTTTTTAGTTTTGTAGCATTTAAGGTTATTCACTTCATAAATGTCAAAAATAAGAGAACAGCTCAGATTTTTGCAGTAATTTAAAGATGCTTAAGTAAAAAAATGATGATCTATCAGATTAATTTTTTTTTCTCTGCTACCCACAGACCAGTATAGTCAGATTTGTGTGTCTATATATTCTGTGGAAATGTAATTGCAATCACTATCCGCTTGTTAAGTGTGACTTGACATTCCACTTCTGGGTCCAAGCTCCCACAGACCCCAATGGTGGAGCATGTCATCCTCCAAAAAAACCACTTCTTTTTTTTTTTTTCTTTAGTGCGGCATCATTGAGAGCAAAAAAACATGAGTACATTTTTAAGATTTAGAGTAGCCAGTGTTGTTTTAGAGCCGTCCCTGGTAGCCTAGTGGTTAAGGCACAGTGCTCTTGCCGCTGCGCCCCGGGTTTGAATCAGGATTGCGTCAGGAAGGGCATCTGGCGTAAAACACGTGCCAAATGTCAACATGCGAGTTGTCAGTGTGACAATTCGCTGTGGTGTCCTTAATCGGGAAAAGCCAAAAGTGACTTTCAGAGTAGTCCGTGTTGCCGTTCCGCCTGATGGTCTAATAACCTAACTTTATTAGATGTTGGAGTAAATTTATTCCATTATATAGCTGTGTATATTGAGTTATATGTTAACTTGTTTTAATAGTTCCCAGCTTTTACTGTTACTTTCATCAGTGTAAAATGTCAGTGTATAGTGTTTACGTTAACTTCGTGCTAAGTAGTTAGCTAATATTACAAGGCAACAGAACACCACACTTTTAGAAGCTTTATTTTTATTAATTTAAGAATACTGTGACGTATCTAATCAAGTGTAGTTTTCTTTTTCCATTTCCCAACTCAAGGAAAGTGGTAAAATGACAGCTGGCTTGTGATTTTTGATTCAGATCTACTGAAACAGTGGGGAACACAACACTGCGGCATAGGGAAAGGAGGAGAATGAACCGAATTTTGGACCCAGAAACAGAATGTTACATCATCACTTAACAAGGCCATAAAAGTCTATGTTAGTGTTTAATCATTGCCTTGTGTAATCAGTCAGTTTAGGAAAAAATTAACTGTTCCCAGAGACACTGAGGATTCCAAACCTTTTTTTGTCTGGTGCATTTGTTTGAAGGAACAGATGGAGTGCACTGCTATGCTTGCTGGAATCTCAACTGTACCAAATGGACAGATGAATAGTGTTTTTCATGAACTTCCCAAACCCCTGATTGCTTTTGAACGAAGGCCGTTTAGGCTTGTAAATAATGAGCAAGAAAACACAAACTTTCCTCTCATGCCTTTCTTCCACTGTTTGTCATCCTGTTTGCAGAGGACTTCATCCAGTCAGTCCAGAGTATGGCCGGCATGGCTGTAGTTCTGTTGATCAGGTCCGTCATGGGTTATGGAGATGAAGTTGCTTCTGTGGTGAGTTGAGAATGAAGAATTGTGCACAATAAGCATCCATTTTAAGTCAGTAAATCACATGTCAGTGTAAAGCAGTCACAGATGGCTACTTAATTAACCATTTCCATTTGAGCTGCATTATACACAGAAATGCACAAACGTAAAGCAGAAAATACTTGTGGAGGTTCTTGAAAGGTTTTGAAGTATTTTTTAAACTGATCTCCATCTGTGGCTATGAAATAGTTTCCAACAGGCATTCAATATGAAAATAAAAATAACAGTAAATTAACTAAAAGCTAAATCATCTGACTTCTTTCTGAGACCTGTATTCTCATTTTTGTCTTTGTGTTTGTTGTGTCTCAGGTGTGCTGTCTACTGCGGAGCTCAGCTCAAGTTTTGGACTCAGCTCCTCAGTGGTTAAAGCAGAGCTGTGAGGGTTTGTATAGCAGTGGTCACCCGCCGGGTGTCTCTTTGTATCTGTGTCATGGGGCTTTGGCTATGTTGAGCTGGAAGGGCACTCTCCCAGGGCCGCAGTGGGAAGAACTGCTGCTGCTGGTCCCAAACACGCTGCTGGAGCTGGATGTCAGGTAGATCTATGCAGCTTCTATTGTAGGTCACAGTTAAAATGTGATTACAGTTTTTCTCAAATGCTAAAACACATTTCACAAACGTTTCCTCCATGTTCCCCAATGTCTAAACACAACACCCTTTTCTAAAGCTACATAAACACAACCACACCTTCTCACTTCAAAACTCAAACTTTCACACCAAAAGAGCAGCTCGAAGCTTTCAAAAATGTAAACACTATACACATCATTACACACTACAGCAAAACAATTGAAAACACAATGCTCAATTTGTGAGAAGGTTCTTTGTTTCATAACTGCCAATGCATATTTTTGAAACTTTACAGTAATGGATGTTCTTAGATCTCTGCAGAGGATTAGGCATTTAGATTTGAGAGTTTCATATGAAGAGTATAAATCTATAGTAAATTCTGCATGTACACTACTGTAACACAACTCAATGCAAAAACAGAATCTATTGCACACAACAGTACTCTTGAAAACATGATCAGGGTGTGTGTGATCTTTATTTACTTTATTCACACCACACACACACACCACAATCACTGTGCGGCATCATGTCGCTGAGCTGCATCGGGCCACATCACCTCATCCACATCGCAGGCTATATTGTCTCTTGCCAGGCACCGCGGGAAAAACGCCCTGGAATGGCGAATCCATCCTTGGAAGGCCTCCACTGGGATGTCAACACAGGCCAGCTCCATTGCCCTTAGGAGGTTCTCTCTAGTGTATAGTTGTCTGTCATAAACCTTCCATCTCCATGATGAGAAGAACTCCTCTATAGGGTTCAGGAAAGGGGAGTAGGGTGGCAGACAGACGTTTAAAAAGTGGTTACTGTTGGTGGTGAACCACTCTCTGATTTGGTTTGTTTTGTGGAAGCGTACATTGTCCCAAATGATCACATAAATTTGATGTGCGGGCCCAGGATGGTGTTGTTGGCGGTCCAGGAGGATGTCTTTTAGCTCCTCTAGGAAGGTG